TGGGAGACAAGTGGGAGACAAGGGTGAAATCATGCGGCCAGGAACACAAGCCTGGAGATTATACCAGCGTAGACCCCAAACAGTTTGTGCGTTTATGAAGTTAACCACAGAGACGAACTGTCAAACCGTCAACGGCTCAAACCGTTCCAGCTCGCGGTGATCAACTCGGACCTTCTGGGTTTGTTTCAGCACTTGGCTCAATTGGCTCAAGGTCACAACCGACAATTCAGACGAAAATAGAACGCAAATCTACTGAATATGCTGAGTTGTACTGACATGTGGCTTTATCATGATTGTTTGGCTAAAAGATGTTAAAAGCTTTCAACCAAAATGTGAGACAAGCAGGGACACAAGAAGGGAGACAAGTGAAGAAGCGAGGGAGACAAGCACGGGGACAAGTGGAGACAAGTGTAGCAAGAAGGGAGACGAGCAGGGAGACAAGTGGGACAGCGTAAAGCCACTTGGCCAAGAGTGTCTAAGCAGGGAGCAGGCGAAGAGGCAAGCGGAGACAAGTGTAAAAGCGTATCCAGAGCAGGCCGAGACAAGTGGAGACAAGTGAAGCAAGAAGGGAGACAAGCAGGGAGAGAAGTGTAAACTCATCCAACCGAGAGCATGGAAGCAAGAAGACAAGCAACCGGCCAAGTGTAATCCAAAGTAGGCCGAAAAAGTGGGAGACCAGTGGAGACAGGTGTAAAAACAAACATCCGGACAAGTGTATCCAGAGTAGGCAGAGGAAACATCTCATCGGCCCACAGGACCCAGAGGGAGACAAGCGCAAAAGCATGCAGCCAGAGCACCCAGAGTGTATTGGAGACCAGGAGAGACAAGTGGGAGACAAGTGCAAAAGCATGCAGCCAGAGCACCCAGAGTGTATTGGAGACAGGGAGAGACAAGGGGGAGGCAAGCCAGAGTACGGGAGACAAGGGAGACAAGTGGGAGACAAGTGTACAATCACGCGGCCAGAGCAGCAGAGTGTACTGGAGACAGGAAGACGAGGGAGACAAGTGACAAGCGGGAGACAAGTGTAAAATCATGCGGCTCAGACTGAGAGACAGCTGCAACATCATTCGTGCGGCAGGAACACAAACCCGGAGACACATGCAAAATCACGCGGCCCGCCCTTTCAAAGGAGTAAGAACCCCTCACAGCTAAACCTGTTTGGGGAATAAAATCATGCGGCCAGAGCACGGAGAGCATCCAGAGCTTACTGGGAGACAAGTGGGAGACAAATGGGAGACAAGTATAAAATCATGCGGCCAGCACACTCAGAGCATCCAGAGCTTACTGGGAGACAAGTGGGAGACAAATGGGACACAAGTATAAAATCATGCGGCCAGAGCACTCAGAGCATCCAGAGCTTACTGGGAGACAAGTGGGAGACAAGTGTGAAATCATGCGGCCAGAGCACTCAGAGCATCCAGAGCTTACTTGGAGACAAGTGGGAGACAAGTGGGAGACAAATGGGAGACAAGCCTGAAATCATGCGGCCAGGAACACAAGCCCGGAGACAAACTCAAAATCATCCGGCCCGAGCATGCACCCCTTTAAAAGGAG